ATCGGGAGAGAGGAAAAACAAAGAAATACCTTAAGGAGTGACGGGACAGGGGAGAATGCAGTCAGTGATGTCGGGCATGTGTGTGATGTCGTGCATGCACGATAAGTGACTGGGCAGGGAGGGGAAGGCCGGGTGGAGAGGGGTGGGGTCAGCCAGGGGCACGATTTGCTGGTTCTCTGAATTGTGCAGAATCATAACGATCAGTTCTATAGAACCGGTCTGAACCCGTAGAATCCCGGCTGCCGTTGGTAATTTAGTAACATGCTTTTTGAGTGAATGAATTTTGCTGGTCAGAAGGTCAGAGATTCACTTTCATTCACTGACGGTTGCAACTGTCATAAATATGAGTCAGTTACCAAGTGCCTGAATTTTGATCACTTGATCATGGAGATGCTGCAATGATGATAAGTGTGAAAAAACGGTCATAAGTCACTTTTTTCAGTGCCGTTGTAACTTTGAATGGTTACTAAATGTACTGTTGTAAGTTGAGGACTATCTCTATAGAGAATGGACTTTCTTATTACTTTCTTTTCTTTGTCCCCTTGCCAATCTTTTCCCGAGGATTGGATAACTCTTGGCAATGATATGTGATAGACATATACTGTAGGAGGAAGAGTCTCAAATCACCAGGAATCAGTTTTCTCATGCTAATGATATGTCTGTGTTAAGTTCCAAAGCATTGTGATGTTGTTTCATATGGTGGATACAAAAATAAAATTACCACTGACTTCTAACGTTTGTTGATGTTTCTTTTTAAGTTCTTCAATATCTTGCTTGTGCAGCACTTCAGCACGATTGAGAGCCTCTTCTACTGCATCTTCTTTTGCTGTTTCAGCCTAAAAAACAGAATAGAAGCAGTTGGTTAATACAACTATGCTAACAACACCACACAGGACTGATCACACAGGACAATCTCAACTGCTATGATGGCTCTTTGGCAACACGGTTGCACTTGTTAATGGAACTGATTGTTCTTCCATTGTGTCCTCCCTAACCAGTTCTAGATGGCTTGTTCAAGAAGGAAAAGTGTTATTGCACAAGCAGAAGTCAACTCTAATCCCAGATTTCTTACAGTGGTCCTCGACTTACAACCGTTTTTTAGTGACCGTTCGATGTTGCAACAGAACAGAAAAAAGTGACTTATGACCAGTTTTCAAACCATCCTGCAACATCCCCTTGGACACTTGAACAAAATTTGGGCACTTGGCAACTGGCATGTTTTTATGTTAGCTGCAGTGTTCTGGGTTTATCAGCATTTGTAATCTTCCCAGGCAGCTTCCAACAAATGTGGAAGAAGTCAGATTTGCCTAATGACTGGTTATTCACTTAACAATTGCAGTGATTTGCTTAACAACTGTGCCACAAAAGGTCATAAAATGGGGCAAAACTCACTTAACAACTGCCTTGCAAAGCAATCGACATTTTGGGCTCAGTTGTGTTTGTAAGTCAAGGACTACCTGTAATTCTTCATAACTTGAGAAGAACGTAAGGATATATTCTGAAAGCAGGCTTGTTTTATTTTATTATTACTAATATTTGCATCCCTCTGTGCTTCAGCTAACTCCAGTGCTTCTTTTAAATTTAAAATGAAGTTAATACAATGAAATTCTACTTCATGTATATTGAACACTTCAGACAATGTTCTAAAAAGTAAAATCAATTGCCTAATTGGAAATGCAATTGAGAAGTTGGAACCTTAACTCAGGGGTGGGATTCTATCTGGTCGGACCAGTTCTATAAAACCAGTTATTATGATTCTATGCAGTTTGGAGAACTGGCAATTTGCGCTACTGGCCGGCCCCTCCGCTCCCCGCCCACTCACTACTTACCTGGCATGTATGCCATCAGACTTGCCTGCATTTGGTAAGTTGCTATTTTTTTCTTTTTTCTTTTCCCTGACCATCATTTAGATTAGCTAGAAAGCAGGAAATTGGATTTCTTGCTTTCTAGCTCATCTAAAAGCAGAGCTGAACCTTCCTGAGGACTGAAGCTTCTATTTTTCAGTGCAAACTCAAGTAGCAGACTGCAGAAAGATAGATATCTGAGTGAATCTGTGATTCTGCGAGCAACTCAATCTGCCTGCCTGCTTTGCCTGCTTTTGGGTAAAAGTTGCTCTTTTTTAAATAAAAAATTCAATATTTGCATAAATATTTATAATATTTACATACAAGACACAGCCAGCCAGTCACATGACTTCCAAGCCACGCCCAGTCAGCAAGCCATGCCTAGCCAGTAATGACCACCAAGCCACACCCATAAATTAGGCCATGCCCACATAACTGGTTGTTAAGAAATTTGAATCCCACCCCTGCATTAACCACGTGGTCTAGATTCAACTTTTATTGTCACTCTTTCAGAGAAATCCATAGGATATTCAAACCGAAGATTATTGGTTAAGGACAGATAGCATTCAGATTCTATCAAGATTTTTTTGAATAGGCAAAAACTATTTTTAAAAATCACCACATTAAAAAAAAAGATGTTGAGACTCTGGAAAGAGTGCAGAGAACAGCAATAAAAATGAGTAAGGGCCTGGACATTAAAATGTATGAAGAGTGGTTGCAGGAATTGAGTTTGTCTAGACTCTAGTACATTAAAAAGAAGAATTAGTGGTAACATGATAGCAATCTTCCAATATTTGAAGGGCTATCACAAAGAAGATGGGGGTCAACCTACTCTCCAAAGCACTGGAAGGCAGGACAAGAAGCAATGGATGGAAACTAATCAAGGAGAGAAGCAATCTATAACTAAGGAGAAATTTCCTAGCAGTGAGAATAATTAACCAGTGGAACAGCTTTCCTTCAGAAGTTGAGGATGCTCCATCACTGAAGGCTTTTAAAAAGAATCTGAGCACTCACTTGTCTGAAGAGGTATGAGGCCTCTTGCTTGCACAGGGATTGGACTAGAAGACCTTCAAAGTCCCCTCCAACTCTGTTAGTATTAAACAACATTAAGACAAATCTACACCTGATTTGTACCAGTGCTGCTGATGTACCGATGACACCTATTAACACGCATCAGAGGAAAATCGGAATAATAAACATTAGAAAGGTTTATATTTAACATGATAGAGAATAGTTTTACCTGAAGCAAGAGTTTAGACTGCATTTTATCAATTCGTTTTTGTATTTCCTGTTCTCTTTGATCTACATCTTCTCGCTTAAGGTCTGCTCCAATCTCTGTATAAAGCAATATAGTAATTGAAGGCCACAGCATATATTATATATGGATTATGTAGGTCACACATTCTATAAAATAATCAAAAGTTTAATTTAAAAGCATTAAATTATTACCATCATATTGTGAAGACTAGTGTGCACATTTCAAATGTGCCATACTGACATTAATTAAACATATAAGTGGTGTGTGTTAAGCTACTATTCTCTGATTAGGCTTGATAAAAATTTAACCCAATAATTTAGGGAAAGATGGAAACAACAATTAGACTAATATACCGCTCCATAGTGCTTCACAGCACTCTCTGAGCAGTTTACAGAGTCCGCATATTGCCCCCAACAATTTAGGTCCTCATTTTATTGACCTCGGTTGACCTGAATCAACCTTGAGTCAGTCAGGATCTAACTCCTGACAGTGGGCAGTTAGCCTGCAATACTGCATTCTAACCATTGTGCCCCCACAAGTCATAAATCCCATAACTCTATCCTAAACATTTCACATTTCAGCTTATCTCCACAGACTACATGGCAATGGCAAGATAAATCCCTACAAATATTTACGATGAACCCTTGGATGCTGTTCCATCTATACTAGTGAAGGGATCCTGGCAGAGTATTCCATCTACAACTGGAGTGTCCAACCTTGCCAATTTTAAGACTTTGTGTACTTCAACTTCCCTGGCTGGCTGGAATTCTGGGGGACTTGAGTTCTCAAGTCTTAAAATTGCCACTCCTGATCTACAGTTTTATGCAGATAACTTCAATATCTGAAGCAGGCATTTTACATTGGTGGACAACCAGCAGTGAAGGCATCAAGCTTGCTCTAGTTTCCTTTCCAAAGTGATCAAAAGAAAGATTTACAAGGCCAGAAATAATATCATGTGATTATACCATAGAAATTGGACATAAATCTTCATATATTTCATTTTCCTCTTTTTTTGGCAAGTATCAAGTAGAAGGATGTCTTTCCTACTAAACCAAAGATGCTGTTTTCCTTAATATTTGCAGCCTTTTCTATTTTTTATCATTTTATTAATATGAATAGCTAGAATTGTTCATGTTCTTGTATGCAGATTCCTTAGAACATGTCAAATACATGAAATCATCATCGGTTACTGAGGAGATTGACTTACCTAATATATCTTTGTGTGTATAATACCGAGTTTTATAAGGTTTATATTCCCTAATCCGGTCAAAGGTCTCTGGTGTAGGAGGCGGTGGAATTAGTTTTGAACAAACAGCACAGCAAACAAATGTATCAAAATCTGGGTTTCTAATCATGATTGCATGAGATCTTTTTTCCTCCTTTGAAGAGAATGAAGTAATTGATTCAGATGCAGATACAAACACTTAGTTCTTCTATTCAAAGCTGAATTATATTTGGTGTCCCTTTGGTTCTGTGCATGTCAGTGGAATAAATAAGCTTCAGCATTGTATGACAAGATGGTCAGTGGAAGGAAGAGAAAAGGACCACCATTATATGGCAAGGTGCATCCACCTGCCTCCTCGGGAGCTCTTTATTAAGAAACTCTGGCAGTTACATTGTCATGACTATCTCTGAGCCTATGAGTTAAATGCTACCCAATAACTGTTGCTAGGCAAAGTAGGTTTTGCTCATAAAAGCATTTGAGACATCAGTTAATATTACTTAGCATCTTGGAATATATTTTTTGTAATTGATAATGTTTCATCTGCTTTTCTTAAACAATGTACATGAATTATTACAGCATTTACTATCCAAATATTTAAACCAAAAACTTAACATTCCACTAAATGGAAATATTCAAGGAAGCTCAAAATATTGAAATAATCCATGGGAACATATTTTAACAGATTAGTTGTATTGCCTTGAGTGAAAAATATCAATCCATCAATCATTTTGTACACTAAATCATAAATAACTTCAGAAGAGACTATGGAAAAGTTTTCCCTTATTTAATATTTGAAATATTAAAAATTTGCACAGGTGGATGATTGCACAAATAACACATTTTAGAAATGTTTTTTGAGTGACTTACTAAAACACTGACGATTAATAATAAACTTTAAAACCAGACAGTGCAATTCTGGCAATAATTCTAAAGCATCTTTTGGCACAGTATAGTTAAGAAATAAGTTGCACATATTCTGCAGTACCCTTTTTGTTATAATGTGCTTTATTCAAAATATTAATAGATAATAGCATTTCACACTTTACAGTTTAAACATTTAAATCATGTTTAAACTGATTTTTTTTAAAAAGCATTCATTGTATAAAAATAAATGCTAATGCTTCAGTCAAAATCCTGAAAGTCACCATGCAGAAAATCAAATGTCTTCTTCCATGTTGATATTTGTCAACACTGACAGTTTTTTCAGTCCCATTTTGAAGTCTTGCGTTTCATAAGTCTGTTTCCTTCACTATCAATAGCTTCATAGAGATCCTTTTTGTTTTCTTCTTGTGCGTGCAAGTACCCAATATAAGCCACACAGAGAGTAATTGTCACAAGGCCAAAAGCCATAACTGCTTTGTTCTGTGAAAATAAAAATAATACCTTGAAATCCAGACATTTTATTTAATCCACTTTCTAAACCATGCATCCTAAAGGTAGTTTATTAAATTATGTCCCAATGACCTATTTTACTTTCCATTTTCATCTAGCTTTTAAAGAGAAAAGGAAATGGCTAGAATTAACGCTTCAGTCCTCTATATAACTGGAAATATACCCCACCCAATACTGTTAAATTGTTACTGAGAAGAGAGTTGGAGATTGCACTGAAGCCACTTATGACCATTAGGAAAGATTGACATAAGATCCAACTGAGTTTTTGAAAATTATATATCATCACTTGGATGATCTTACTGATCTTGGAAAAGCTAAGCAGGGAGGGATCTGGTTAGTAATTGAAAGGGAGACTATTAGGACAGCCCAGGGCTCTCTAGGCTGGAATGAAAATTTGAAAGGGCATCCTGGAAGAAGGCAGCTGCAAAGCACATCTGCACTGTTGCCAAAACAGCAGCATTAATGCATTTGTGCAGCCCCGTAAAAGTCAAGCATTTAAAAACCAGTAAAGGCAATGCTCCCAACTGTCTTGTTTTATTATGAAATGAAAGGCCTGTACATTGCAAAGAAATGAAATGACTTAGTTGATTAAGGTGTAGAAAATATATTTAATCTTTTTTAGTTCCTCAATACCTTTTTTTCCCCACAGACTATATGTTGTTTGAGTATAAGATGTTTCTGTTTGGAAAAAATGGGTCTCATCCAGAGTGAATGCTGTTTTCCCATACATTTTAAATATGTTCCTATTCATGACTATTCATGATTAGGTTTTATAGTATTTTGTTTGCAATTTAGTCCAATTATTGAACTAGCCACTGACTTCTGAAAGCTTAATTCAATAGGCAAATTACTTCTTCATCGTAACAGTTTTCCTATTCATGTTAAAAAAGTGAGATATTGTAGCTAAAGTATTTTGATGTCATACTATTCTAATTAGCAAGTTATTAATTAGCAACTTATTTTTTATCAAAACTAATGTTACACCTGAATTAAAAATGGAAAATAATCAGAAATTAAATATAAATGACCTCTTAAATAACATGTTATACTCCAGTTTACTTAATTGTGATAGACCATAATTGACTGGATTTAGATATAATGCTAAAGTCATTAACCATAAATCCCAAACAGAAAGACTAGGCTCATATATCATAAACCCAAACAATTATTCAGATGTAATAACTATGGCCCTATATCAGACTATGCAACTGAGATACAGGCAAAAGTATGGATGTATTTAAACCAGCTGCCCCAAATAATTGCTGTTTTCTTACAGGTTTAATGAAAAGTTCTGGATTCACAGCACGGAACAAAGTAGTAGTTTGAGCACCTCGGAGTCCTGGAATTCGATAATCTTTTCTTTTGGGTGCTTCATGTTGAACATCTGAAGGCTGGGGTGCTGAAGACATCTTACTGTGGCAAAAATATTTGGACTGTGTATGTGAGACACTTTACTAATATCCTATATTCTGATTGCAATCTAATTGACAAATATAAATAATAATAAAAGTCCAGGTCTATTATTTACCAAACCTGGAAAATGCAGTGATGGGATATCTCCAGAGGGTGGTTAGCCAAAGACCTTGAATAATTATCCTGTTTTTCTTTCTTAGCAGCTTTCTGTCAAAACAAAACAAACAAAAAACCCTGAGCAAACTATAGCATATAAACAAAGAATTTAATCTGGGCCTTGGCATAAGATTCCAGAGAGCAGTAGTAAAATTATACATCAGGTTTAATTCCTGACAATGTCAGGTAGAGCAGAGTTTCAAACGCTGCTAGTCAGGCTAGCAAGAGCCAAAGTAAACAGAACAATATATTATGAAGGATATTATGTAACTTCCCATTAATCTTAATTTAATATGATTCACTTAATAATCCAGTGTTTTGGCCTTCCCCAATGTTGTGTCATCTAGATACCTTGATCTGTGACTTCACTGTTCATCAATTAGGGAAAATAGGAACTGCAGTCCAACAAGTTAGCACAATATTGTCCCAGATTTATGAGTTCCAACCAGCGAAGAAAGTTGATTTAAGAAACATTTAAGGAAGCAGCTGAAGTTCATAAAGATAATACAGGTTTCACCTGCAGACATCTTGATATTACACGGGTGATGCTTTGTAAAATCATGTGGTGGAGCCATCTGGGAAGCTAACAAGATTGGATTAGCAGGCGATAGCTCCTTCTACTCTCACTTCCTAGCAACCAGTATTTAAGATGGAATGGAATCCCCTGGAGATACATTTGGTTTTCACTCTCTTAAAACCTGGCTCAGCACATAAACTTGGGTTATCCGCTGTTTGATAGCCAGCATTTTGGATCTTGAAAAAAAGTAGGGTGGCCTGGGCATGTACATGGATTCCACATTTGCCTATACCCCCTACAATTCCAGGAAAATACAGATAGTCCTCGACTTACAGTATAACAGTTCATTTAGTGACCATTTTACCAAGTTACAACAGTGCTGAAAAAATTAACTTATGACCACTTTTCACACTTACGACCATTGCAGTATTCCTATGGTCACATGATCAAAATCCAGGTGCTTGGCAACTAACTCATATTTATGACGGTTGCAATGTCCTGGGGTCATGTGATCACCTTTTGCAACCTTCTGACAAAGTCAATGGGGAAGTCAAATTCACTTAACAACTGGTGGCAAGAAAGATCGTAAAATGGGGCAAAAGTAAGTCGAGGTCTACCTGTAATGCATTTGATGCTCAAAGATGTGTATATTTCAAGGGATGCCATTGTGTTTTAAAACTGGGAAAAAGGACATACTTCTATGCTATAATACTAAGGTAACTTCTTGTCCTCCTTCATCCAAACTAAAGACTTATAATTCTTCTTCATAGGAGGACTGATCTAGACTTCTATTTATTTTGGTTGCCCTTCTGCATCTTTTTGAGCTCTGTAATACCCCCTCTGAAAATGTGATGACTAAAACTCCATTCCAAATACCACAAGAATAATCTTTGCTATATATTTTCATTAAATTAGCAATTCTATTTTCAATTCAATTCCTTTGACTTCTAATAGGAATCTGCCTTCTTCACATTGGCTGCACACTGGATTGACATTTTTATCCAGCTGGCCATCAAGCTCCTCTTGATCAATCAGTTCAGATTCCGTTAATATAAAAGTCACAGATGGATTTTTTTTACACCAACATTCTTTACACTTGCTTACATTGTTATTTAAGTCAGAAATGGTGTAGGGCAAAGGTCTTCAAACTTGACAGCTTTAAGACTTGTGGGCTTCAACTCCCAGAATTTCTGAGCTAACATGACTGGAGGAGGAATTCTGGGAGTTGAAGTCCACAAGTCTTAAACCTGCCAAGTTTGAAGACCCTGCTTGGGCGGAGGGTTGAACTAGATGACCTACAAGGTTCCTTCCAACTCTGTTATTTTGTTATTTTTGTTAAAGTCTTATGATGACCATCTGCCAGTTTGGAAAATTTGACTCTGGTATTTTTCTACACCAATAGCCACATACCAAACTGTCTTCCACCATATCACACCATGTAACTAAAGACTTCCATCCATAACTCTCCCATCACTAGCCATCTGACAGACAGAGTGCAAACTTTTTTCTTTTACAGATTTTCCTTGGTAAGGAAGAAGTACAGCAGGAAGTGAGGGAAACCTGGGATGACTCTCAGTGAACCACCACAATGTCAGCATCTCATTTTTGGAGGGGGAGGGAGGAAATCTGCAAGGTTTCCTCCCAGGAAGCACCCAAGCTCTGTAGAGCAAAAGTCTTCAAACTTGGAAGTTTAAGACTTATGGGCTTCAACTCCCAGAATTCCTGAGCTAATATGACTGGAGGAGGAATTCTGGGAGTTGAAGTCCACAAGTCTTGAAGCTGTCAAGTTTGAAGACTCCCCTGCTCTAGAGTCTAGGAAGCCCTAATTTGAGAAAAGCAAGTTTGAAACGAAGATCATCGACGTGGGAAGCACAAGCAAATAGCTCGCCACTTTTTCTAACCCTAGTACGGCTACCAGGAAAAAAATCCGGAAGGTCCCTGCGTCCGAGTCGTGAAGGTGGGGGCTGTCTCCAGCCATGGCAACTTTAAGACTTGTGGACTTCAACTCCCAGAATTCCTCAGCCACCTTTGCTGGCTGAGGAATTCTGGGAGTTGAAGTCCACAAGTCTTAAAGTTAAGGTTGGAGACCCCTGAAGTCTGCGGCAGCCCAGGTCTGGAACCTCTTAGCAGGTTCCTAGCTAAGAGGTGTAGCTAGTTACTACTAAGAGGTGGCTGACCAGGCGCCCTCTTCGATATTTAAGTACGCTAAGAAAAGCATACCTAGGAAGACAAAAGCAAAGCATCTTGCTTACCTCCCTCCGCGGGCAATCTGAGCCAATGCCCCCAGTTTACCTTTCCAATGCAGACCTAAGAAAGGCTGGCGGGGCCAGGGGGGCGTTTTCCGCCTCTGCCGTTCTTTTGGGCCTAACTCGAGGGCGCCCCCTGCTGTGCGGAGGCCAGGACAGCACTTTGCTTTACAAGCTGGAGACGGCTGGGTTAGAAAGAGAGTTCGCAAAGCAGGACCGGGCAGGGGGAAGCGATCCCCTCCCCCGCTTCTGTCAACCAGCTCTTGCGGGGAGAATTGTTATTATGTATGGCCGCACAATCAGTCAGATGTGTAGACTGGATTTGCCGTTTTTAATCTACCTATTGAGTCCTCCCCAAGGGCCTGGGATAAGCAGATGTTATTTGATTGATGGTGTTAATTTATTTATTCATTTATTTGATTTTGTCAGTCGCTTACAAGATAACAGATATAAGTATAAACATAGTTATGAATACATGGATACATATAAGAAAAGTAAAAGAAACAATAGGACAGGGACGGTAGGCACATTGGGGTGCTTATGCACACACCCCTACAGACCTCTTAGGGAAAGGGGTGAGGTCAATAGTAGACAGTCTAAGGTTAAAGTTTTTGGGGTTTGGGGATGAAACCACGGAGTCAGGTAGAGTATTCCAGACATTGACCTCTCTGTTGCTGAAGGCGTATTTCCTGCAATCACATTTGGTGCGGTTTAGCTTGAGTTTGTATCTATTGTTTGCTCTTGTATTGTTATGGTTGAAGCTGAAGTATTCATTGACCGGTAAGTCATTGCAATATATGGTTTATTAATGTATGATTTTTTAATAAAGATATGATCACAAATGTGACCTTTACTTTGGCCAAGTAAAGTTGCCTTTTGCAATTGGTTGATGGCCAGTGCTAATATGGTATGCTCCAGATATTTTGGAATTGCACTATTACTATTGGTGCTAGCTTTGCTTTCTTTTGCTACAGAACTTTGTATTTCTATTTGCATCTCCTTGTATTTTGTAATTTTCCCCCCAGGCTTTCTTTCCTGTTCTGATGTTTTCAGGTCCTGTAATGTCCAGTATCCAAACTTTTTTTGTCTTTCTTATCAACAGCTGTTAAGTCCTGGGTATTGTGTGGCAAGTGCCTGTCTATTTGAATTTTAAGGTCCCAGAGCACTTTAGCTTCTTCATTTTCTATTATTTTTTCTATTTTATGCTCCTGCCAGTTTTTCCTGCAAGCAAATGGTATTTCTGGCAGGTTTTTCAATGCACCATTGTTGCTACTTTGTCAGTATCATTGTAGGTAGTATGTACAATCTTTTTGGAATGGGTTAGCCTGCCACATGTTTTTGATGTTTGGTATCCATGGCCTCATTTGTTTGGTATTTTGACAGAGGAATTAGTACAATGGCAAACAGTACTGATCATGAGCCTCTTTGAAATATTCCTCTTGATATTAACTCCTCCCAATCCATCACTATTGATCAGCAACTATGTCATTCATTATACCATTGACATTTGCACAAAGCTTCTGATGTGTCTACTGGCTCCTGTTATTTCTAGGCACTTGATTATCCAGACATGTGGCAGTGAGTCAAATGTCTCCTTATCCAATCCAAGCTACACAGTTGGTCTTCCTACTGTTTTCCAAAATCCCCTTGTCAATTAGGAGCTGATCTTTTATTCCTCTGGCTGGTTGATTAGTTTCCTGTCGGTTCAGGTGGAAAGAGCTTGTTATCAACTAAATTCTGCTTGACTGCATCAGCAACCACACTAATTAGCAAATGGAAAGTTGTTGGTAAGCAGGTAACTGGCCTGTAGTTGCCTGATACTACCTTATTTGTTAGAACTTTCATTATCAGGTAGGTTTTAGTCAGATGTTAACCTATCTTCAATTTCACCTCTTTGCACCATTTGTTAAATTGCTTTGCAGTGAATAGATGACAAAGAGTGGGTGTAGATATTTCAACCAAAACCCATTCAGTTCAGTGATGGTATTCAATTTTTGGGGTGTGTGGTGTGGCTTGGTGGGCATGGCAGGAAAAGGATACTGTAAAATCCCCATTCCCTCCCCACCCCACTAACCTGCTTTCCAGCTCCCTTCTCCTGTGCAGGGCAACCAAAGAGGACCCAGCCAATCAGCTGAGACTCGGGAGGCAGAGAATAGATGGGGGCAGGGACAGTCAGAGGTGGTATTTACCGGTTCTCTGAACTACTCAAAATTTCCACTACCGTTCTCCAGAACCTGTCAGAACTGGATGAATACCACTTCTGATTCAGTTCATTTTCACCAGGTGCGGAACAGTTCTTCCTTGCCCATTTCTCCACTATGTCATTATTATTATTTGCAATTTATTCATTGCCCAACTCCAGTGGACTCTTGGCAATGTATAAAACTTTAAAAAACATAAAACCAGCTAAAACATTAAATTAGGCAGAAGGATTAAATCAGGTGGAGAGCTCCAGAAAAATATTCCCATTTGGGATCAGAGTGGGATGATCAGAGATATTCTGGAGACCTACCTGAAGCTGAAAGAAAATTCCAACCACAATGGATTAAGATCTGGAGGCATCTGTTCCATGAATGTGGAACTCAGTTATGCATATGTATCTACCTATTTGTCTATTAGGTAGTGTTACAGCAGGTGACTTGACCTCACATCTTCTAGATAAGTTAAACTGTCCTTCCCATCATGCCCAGGACCCACCATGCCTGCAAAGCATCTCCTTCATGAAACATTTTTTTTTCATCCAGAGCAGACATCTGATAGACCTTTGAATATCTGAATGTCTTTTGTCCTAGGGTTTGCTCCAGCAGAATGAATTAAGATCATTCTATTCCTCTTTTATTTTCTGATATTGGAGAAATTTTGCTGCAGAACTGCAGTTCAAACCTCTTCCTGGGATTGACAATGTAATACACTTCTTCTCTTCTTGTACTTATGTGGAACGTCCAGTTGGAAATCAAAAATTAGCAGATCACTTAGGGGACCTTCTACAGATGTGTTTGGATTCATACTACAATTCCCAGAATTTCTAGGCAACATGGCCACTGCCACTCAACATATGTAAGGAGCCTGGGGAGGGTAGCATAATCTAAGATTAGCAAACCACACCTTCTTATTTAAACAGAATGTGACATTTATCTGTGTAAATGCAATTTATATGCATTACTTGTTTGCAAATAGAAAAGAATGAAAATGAAGACAGTCTGCATTAGTAGGAAAGATTCAATGAGCCATCTGTGTTTTATGTCAATATTTAACTCACAGCGCATCATCTGCTCTACTAGCAGTTATTGTTGTGGCAACAGCTTTTATAATGAATCTTACTGAAGAAAACAAAGAGGATGTTAGTAGCATAATAAATCTTACAAATTCATATACATCAACGAAGCCCATAATTGCCAGGTTCTACAGCTCAACACTGATTTGGGTCAAAGGTGGATGTCTAATACATCTGGTGGAACCAGGTTGGGAAAAACTACAGGAGAACAAGCTGAATTTGTCAACATGAGCCACTGACATACCTAATGAAGTTGTGTGTGTGTGTGTGTATCCTGAGTCAAGTATTTTTCATAAGACACAATAGAAGTGGATGTTTACATCTCAGAGTTAAATATCTGATAAAAAATAAAACATTGCTATTTCTGTGTTGAACTGAATTGGCATCCTCCAGTCTCAAGAGACAATGGTATCGTGCTCAGGGGTAGGATACGACCGGTGTAACTACCGGTTCGGTGATTTTACATTTTACACTGCGTGCACGTGTATATCATCATCAGCTAGCTGCCTGGACAGCTGAGCAGCACTGTGCGTGGATGCGCAGTGGTTGAAAAAGCACTTTTTTCCTGCTTTTTCAACTGCAGTTGTGTTGCGCAAAGCAGCTGAGGTTGAAAAAGCAGGAAATAAAGGTCAGGTAAGAGCCTGGGAGGGTGGGTGGGTAAGCCAAAACAGCAGCAGACATAGAACCAATTCTATGTATGCTCTCTGTCTACTGCTCTTCAGAGCAACTGGTTCTACAGAGGTGGACAGAACCAGTAGAATCCCGCCCCTAATCATGCTATAAAACCGGTAACTGTCACTTCCGGTGTTGTTTCAATGCTGTATGCAAGGCTGGAGTATTCTCTCCAGAGCACGGGGCCGGGTAATTTAATATGGAGGATTAACTGTAGATCAGCAGATCCCCCCTCTTCATGCCACTGAAATAGTCTAATGGAACGGCAGAGTGGATACGCTTAGTTCCAGCTGCGTTGCAGGAGTTACCAGAACGTGATTGTACACAGTCACAAACTGCTTCCAGGACTCTGGCTCCGGATTTTGCCTCGAGGTTGACTCCTGAAACCTTTTCCAATAATAGATATATCCACAAGGCAGTGGAGGTTTAAAATCAGAGTTTCCCTTCTAGAAGATGGTTCTACCGTTTTATCTGCCGTTGGGGCATAAAGCCCTCTTCCACCTTCAAAACTGCAACCCTGGAAAGGGGCCTTTATTAGATGCTACCAGCCAGGCCAGCTGGACCAAGGTTTTGTAAGGAGGTATTACTCCTCCAGCACTTCTCCTCACTCCAGGACGCCCGGTTCGGCTCCATTTCTGTGTTACCGACTGTGGAAAGAAGCACTGAATTCAATTGCCTGGCTTGCTTTGGTAAATAAAGATTAAAACAAATGAGCCACTAATTAAATAATAGGAAGAAAAAGATAAAGATCACTTTAAATATCACAGTAGACAAACAGTGTTTTCTTCCATGTGTTTTTGTATAATTTTGATTCATTTTCATATATCTTTACATTGAATAAAACTACAGGGCAGAAAGTATACCACAAAACCAGAACTATTACTCAGAGCAGAGGTCTGTCAGACAGCTAAGAATATAAATGACAGAAATACAGAGCAGTTCATTTATCAGTTCAATACTAACAGCAGTTCCTTTTGTGACCATTTGAAGTTACAATGGCACTGAAAAAAGTGACTTATGATCATTTTTCACATTCATGACCTTTGCAGCATCCTCATGGTCACATAATCAAAATTTAAATGCTTGGCAATTGACTCGTATTTATGACAGCTGCAGTGTCCCGGAGTTATGTGATCCCTTTTTGCACCCTTCTGACAAGCAAAGTCAATGGA